TAAAGTGATAAAAAAATAAACAATGTCTATTTCAGTCATTCTAACATTAAAAGATCTTTTATAAAAAAATTTACCAAACAACTTTTTATTCTACAAGTACTTTTATAAAAAATTTTACCAAACACTTTTAACTTATCAAAAACAGCCCTTTCACAACATATTCTCTCTAACAGAACTTCTATTAAAAAGACCAACCACACCAAACAGGCTCTTAATATACTACCAAACAAGGTTTAGTACAAGTGCATGTACTGCCTTTCAGTAATAAAGGGTAATATCGTCTAACGTAGTTGAGTTGGGCTTAGAATTGTGGGCTTAATAATCCCTTAGATTTATATACGGGCTTAGCTCATTCCTTTCTTATTAGACCAAAAGTCCAAGAAACTATTTGGGCTTAAAAAAATCGTCATAAATCGGTTTTCTTTTCTACAATCGGCAATGAATTCAACTCAAGGGCTTAGCTTCAAACATCCATCCTCTATTCGATTCTATTGATGCGAGCATTGATTTTTCGGGTAATAAACGTTGCTTTTAGTTTCTGTCTTTTGATCCCTGTATTCTGAAGAAGGAAGCTCAAATTCATTCTCTATGTGAAGATTTAGACGGCCAGAGGTTAGCTTTTCTCTATGCATTCTCTTTTCTCATTGTGTTACAAAACTCTGTTACTGACAAAAATATTGTGAATGTTAATGGAGGGATTGAAGATTGAGTGATTGTTGTTGATTGGAAAGATGAAGTGTCATTTGTGGAAATTGAGCTTTGATACCTTTAATCGCTTCTCTTTTTTTGGTGCTTTTGCATTCTATTTTGAATTTTAGTTGCTTCATTGTTTGTCTTGATTCTGCTAACTTTCTGCTTGTTTGCATATGCGTAGTGCGATTTTTGATATGGGGTTTTGAAATTCAATCAATTTTTGAAGGTTTTTGCAGGATAAGAGAAAAAGGTAAAGTCTTTTAGAATTTTGAGATACAATTCTTAGTGCCCGCATTCTGTTTTTCAACAATGAGCAGTGCTCCAAAGAGATCTCATGAGGAGGCTGGTGGTCATTCCACTCCTTCAAAATACCCGCATGAAGATACTAGTGGATACCCTAAGGTGACATCCTCTTCTGTTTCAAATGATTACCACCATCCTCCAGCCTATGAGGTGGGTCAAGATGGTCGAGCAGCCAAGATTCCTCGGACTGAATCGCGTGATTCAGATAGAAGGTCTCCTCTTCATTCAAATTATCGAATTCCTTCATCTGCTTCAAATGATTCACATATGGATTCCCATCCTAGTGGTTCAGAAAGCAGGATAGAATCACGAGATTCCAAGGAAAATCGAGAGGTTAGGGTTGAAAGCCGGGAGGCTAGGGTAGAATCAAGGGAATTTCATGGTGAGGCAGCAAAGAAGGAGTATCAAAGTGGAAAAGGTGAGAAGGAGGTTAGGTTTGAGGGTAGAGGAGAAGATGGTAAGGAATTGAAGTATGATAGGGAGAACTCTAGTGATCCAAAGGGTGACATGAAGGTGGAAAAGGATGGTTATGGTGGGTCTAGTAGTCACTTGGGTTGGAAGGAATCAAGAGAGTACCATAGAGGAAAAAGGCATCCAGAAGCCCCAGGGGGAGGTCTGGATCCATGGCAAATGCCACGTGATAATACACAAGGGCAAATTGAAGCCGTAAAGGAAGGTTTCGCTACAGAAGAAAGGGATCATGTTGAAACACATGAGGCTGTTGGTGAGAATAAATTTGATCCGAAAGGTGAGGATAGGTTTAAGGACAAGGAAAGGAAAAGAAAAGAAATGAAACATCATGATTGGGGAGATAGAGATAAGGAAAGAAGTGAACGTAGGAGTTACAGCATGCAGGCAGGTAATGGCAGTGGGGAAGGTAAAGAATCTGCTAGAGAGGAGAGAGAAGCTGAGAGATGGGAAAGAGAGAGGAAGGATTTAAAGGACAAGGGAAGGCTGAAGGAGAAGGAAAAGGATCATGTCAAGAGGGAACCATTGAATGGAATAGAGAAAGACGGATCACACAATGAAAAGGAATTGGGAGATGGATCTGTCAGAACACCAGAGCAGGAAAATACCACATCTGAGCAGAGAAAGCAAAAAGAGCTGGATAACTTGAAAAATGTTGATAGAGAAGCTAAAGAGAAGAGATGGGAAAGAGATGTTGACACAGAAGGAGACAAATCTGAAAAGTGCAGTAGGGGCTATGAAAAAGAATCTGATGATGGAAGTGCAGGTGCTGAAGGGGCTAATGAAAGGGATAGGGATGTTTTTAATTATGGAGTCCAGCAGCGTAAAAGGATGCTCCGGCCAAGAGGCAGCCCTCAAGTGGGAAATCGTGAGGGCCATATTAGGCCTCATTCTCAGGAAAATGAAGGGTGAGTATTTATAGTATTCTTGGTTGATTGTTTAAGTGTTATTAGTACTATTGGTACGTCTTTTTCTTCACATTGTGAAATTGGTGTTCTTAAAAACTTCTGTGCATCCATAGGCCTTTATATGATGGATTGAAATCTTCTTGTTAACATTCAAACATGATGATTCAATGATATTGAGATGTCTGCAAATACTAAGTCCATGGTTTAATGTTGATTCTGTGCCACTATTAGTTTCTCTAGGAGGTAGGTGGGTTGCTGTTGCATTGAAATAAATTTATAGAAGGAATTCTGACTCTTGTTTCCTTCACTATACCATTTAATCAATAGGCAAGTGACATTTAAGATTAAGATTTGATGAAGGAATATAATTCTTCAGATGTCATTCATTAATACCACTTCTTTTCAAAGCAAGTATAAACACAAACAGTTTGGTCATATTATTGTGTTTAGGTTAGGGCCTCAATAGCTTCTCATGTTTCTTGCTAGATCAAGTATTCTTTCTTCCTATTTCCTTGTTATTCTTTGACATTCTAACTCGGTTTATGGTTTCTTTTCTTTGCAGATCTCAGGGTAAGCTACGGTTTAAGGCATTTGGGCTATCCAATTTATGGGCTGAAAGTTTGTTGTCATACTTGATTGAACTTTTTTGTTTTTAATTGGTGAAATGATTAACTAAAAGAGTTACAAAAAGGAAATTATTTTAGTTTGCACAGCTTTTGCTTCACCAAGATGTAGCTGCATATTTCATATGCATGTGTATTCTGTTTGCATTGGAATCTATACTTAATACTTTCTCTCATGACATGGTATCCATGTTTGCTTTATTGGATGAAATCCAGAACCAACACTTTTCAACCAAGCTTATACTCATGTGATTGAGAAGCTGTGTGCCTGTTGCTTGATATTTAGGTACCTTGTGTAGTAATCATTGCAAGTATAGATTTAAAAAGCATAAGCTGCAAGGCGATGGATTATGTAACTCAAGAAAATTGCAGTTTAAATGCTATTTCTTTGTCCTAAGTGGGTTATCCATATTCTGTAGGTAATGGAGTTTTGTAGCAATAATAGAGGCTAGAATGTATCTTAGACCTTCCTGTTCATAAATCAGTGTTAGCAATAGCCAATATGTGTCTGATTATTCACTGGGAAGCCCTATGACTGTGGTTACTGAGAGGCTTGAAGATATGAACCCAAGCCCAACCTTGGAAATCTGAGACAAGTACACTCAAGAACTAGGAAGAAGTATATTTTGCCTCTGTCTATCACTAGAAGTTTGAGGACAAAGTAAATTGGTGATGGTGAAACTTAAATATCCAATTTTAAATAATCATGATTATTTTACTAGACTAAGCAATTTAGGTAGAGAGCAGTAAAGTTGACTATTATGATGGGGTTGAGATGCATAGTTTTTCTCCTGTAAGTGGTAGGCAATGTTCAGTCAATGATCTTAGGGTTATATTTTGAAGATGATTTGTTTGTCTACTGTCGTCAGAATGGTAATACAAACATGGTTTTTGGGTGGACTCTATGCTTTTGAGCTATTTTTTAAGTGCTTTGTCATTATTTCCATTTTAATTATAACTGCCAGCAGAAAAGAATAAAACTTCTCAAAAGTGATTGTTTTTAACCATGTAAAAGAATAAAACTCCTCAAAAGTGATTGTTTTTAATTATGTAAAAGTTATATTATATGTTTCATCAATGATGATTACTTTCATTAGATTGCTGCTTTCTCTGTTTCTTCTTGGTTTGACTTACTAAATTTAGCTTTGAATAATCATTACTATCAGGGAACTTTGTTGCTGGTGTTTCAGGTAAAGCTGAAGTATCTTCTGTTGTTTACAAAGTTGGTGAATGCATGCAAGATCTAATTAAGTTGTGGAAAGAATATGAAGCATCTCAGGCTGATAAAAGTGGTGATAGTTCTCAAAATAGTCCTACTCTTGAAATTCGAATACCTGCTGAGCATGTTACTGCTACAAATCGCCAGGTATGGTAAAGTGGCTTTATCCTTGTTGTGTCCTATGAGATTTTTATTTGCTTTATCATGTAATTTTCTGTTTAACTTTTTCCTAGTTTTAGCGTTCCTTTTTTTCCTGATTACATGTCTTTTACCGATTTAATATTCCCTTCTCTTTTGTTTTTGTTGTGGAGCTATTTTTGTCCATCGTCAGGAGATTTTGGTTGTTAAACTGTTTTGCCACTTGATGACAATCTCATGGGCTTGTGAAAGCAGTGTTTTACCATCCTTCTAAGTTACCTATGTGCACTTCATGCAGGTTAGAGGTGGTCAATTGTGGGGTACTGATATCTACACTGATGATTCTGATCTTGTTGCTGGTATGTGTTATTTTGAACAAGAAGACTATAGATGCAGTTTTCATTTGGTCTACAAATGATGGAACTTTCTTAGTGATATATATATATATATATATATGTAAAACCTACCATTGATGTCCAAACTTTTGCCTTCTAGTTCTCATGCATACTGGGTATTGCCGCCCCACCGCCTCTCCACCTCCACCAGCCATTCAGGAGTTGCGTGCTACCATCCGTATCCTACCTCCTCAAGATTGTAAGTCCAAGTTTAGCTGTGGTTCTATGTATTTTAATGCTTTTGGACGTATCACTTAGCTCCACAATATGTTCAACTTTGATACTAAATGAGTAAAATAAAGTCAAATCTTTGTTAAAATGCCCATGTTTTGCACAAATCTGACACTATAATGGATAATTTTTCTATCAGGCTACACTTCTAAACTTAGAAACAATGTTCGATCCCGTGCATGGGGAGCTGGAATTGGTTGTAGTTACCGTGTTGAAAGGTGCTGCATTGTTAAGGTAAGAAACAATTCTGGATCTTTCTATAAAAATTTGAGAATAATTTTATTAGCCTCTTAAATTCCTAATGCTTCTTGCTGTCTATTATTTTGTTTTCACACTTTTTAGAAGGGAGGTGGGACAATTGATCTTGAACCTTGTCTTACACATTCATCAACCGTAGAGCCTACGCTTGCTCCAGTAGCTGTAGAGCGGACAATGACTACAAGAGCTGCAGCTTCGGTATTACCAACCGTCCTTTATATTCAATTTGCCCTTGAACTTGTGCTTTTAGTTGTGACTTTTTCTCTTTTTGGATTATTTGTAACCTTCTCTTTTCCACTCTTATTCACTTATTTTCTCTTTAATTGGCCTCTGGTAGCTTTTATATATTTTTTCTATGCTTGGGTTATAGGCCATTCATATTTCATTTATTATCCTGGTCATCATTTGTGCGACATGACTTTTCTTATGCTGGTTGCATTTTTAGAATGTTTTCTGTTGGTATTTACACATTTGAGAAGTGTAAATATATTCTGTGATTGCCTCCAACAACAAAATCATATATGGTTTTAACTTTTATAATTTGATTTGATTATGTGTAAACCTTATTATTTGACAAAATTAACTTACATGGGCATGTTCATTCTTCAGAATGCACTGCGGCAACAAAGGTTTGTACGGGAAGTTACAATACAGTACAACCTCTGCAATGAACCTTGGTAATTTCAGATTTCTTGTTTGGCATTCTTTCCTTTTGTTTTTCTTTTTTTATTTTATGTGATTTTTGTGTGGCTACAGAGTTTTTATATCATTGTTTATGATTGACATTTTGAAGAACAGTTAGAGGGCAAATACGCTTGACTATTTGTTTTGTTGATTTATTTTGCATGTGTTTCTGTTGTATGTCTTCTACAAATACTTCCGTATTTAGAAATTGAAGTAGGTGGCTGCTTCGGGAGAGTTTGTTTAAATCTTTTCTCTTTCTTTCTAACATTTTCTGTTTTTTCCTCGAATACTCAAATATTCATGTGCTCATTGATTTCACATTTTATCAACTTCCACAGGATAAAGTATAGTATTAGTATAGTTGCTGACAAGGGTCTCAAGAAGCCCCTCTATACATCTGCACGCTTAAAGAAGGGTGAAGTCCTTTATTTAGAAACTCATTCATGCAGGTATTTTTTAGATTGTAATTAGTTATTTCCTGATGTGAATATATAGCAACTTTTAGGTGTTTTGAATTTCTAATCTGTAAAAATCCGAAGGTATGAGCTCTGTTTTATGGGTGAGAAACTTGTAAAAGCCTCAACGACATCTCAACTTCATGAGGCGGAGACAGAGAAATCTCAAAACCATCACTCCCATTCCATGAATGGTGAAAAGAGTGACTCAGATAACACAATGGTTGATGTTTTCCGTTGGTCTCGCTGTAAGAAGCCCCTTCCCCAGAAAGTCATGCGTTCAATTGGGATCCCCTTGCCACTTGAACACATTGAGGTAAGTCATTTCAAAACTAGTTGAGGTTCAGTTTCTTTTTTTCTCTCTACCCTTGTTGCTTGCTTGTTCTCTCCTCACTGCAATTCTGTTTTGATGGTAAAGGTAATTGAGGAGAATCTGGAGTGGGAAGATGTGCAGTGGTCACAAATAGGTGTTTGGATAGCTGGAAAAGAATACACACTCGCACGGGTGCATTTTCTGTCTTCTAATTAGCTGTTACTTAATGTTTATTATTACATCTGTACTATAATTTCATGTCTTCTAAGTGTTAAATTGCATGTCTGCTGAATTATTGGGCTCTTCAGCTGGAGAGGTTGGCACTTCCACAAATAGAATGTCAGTGTTGTGCTCTATTTCTTATCAGATAACAACTCCCCTTCTTTGTGTCTTCTCTCACTCCCCGGGATAACCCAAAGAGGGTTTGGGTTATAATACACTATTTTTAGGCTTGGAAATAGTGAGATGTCGAAAATTCTTCCCCAACAATTTAGTAATCGAACTCTACTAAGCAGTTCGATGGTCGTGCGCCTCATTGAGGCAGGTGGGTTATTCATTAGATTTAAGAATCGAATCTCTAATTGTTAACATCTAATAATATTAACTTACTAATCATTATTTTTATAAAAAAAAAAAAAACAATTTAGTAATCAAAAGTTAGGATAAGTGTTGGACTTCATCCATTTCCTAGTACTTTGTTTCTTATTTGATCCACAGTGCCATATGCAGTGTACTTTATGGACCTACTTTCTTTTTGAACTTTGCACCGGAAAGTGACTTTTGGAGGAAAATTTCCTGGAAACAGAATCTGAAAAGAAGTTACAAATATCCATAAAGATAAAGGAATCTAAAAAGTAGAAGCCTTTTTTTGACTTTTTCTTCCTTTGGATATTGAAATTTCAAAAAATTATTGGTAATTTAATTAAACTCAAGGTTGCGAATTCCGATTTGGTCACTCCGGATTGAAAAAGGGTTTTTCTCATATGGGAAAATTGTTAATCTCTTTCATTTCACCAAATTGTTGACGTTAACTACATCTTATAGGTTATCACCAAATTGTTTAATGTTAATTAAATCTTGTGTATTTTATTACAATCTTAATCTGTACTAGTTTGATAAATTCTTAATTAACTAGTCAATAAATTAATCATTAATTTTAATTTTTCATTGTGGATGGTATGGCTGGGTACGACTACATGCAATTCAGGCAAAAACACACGCTCATCATCCTTTTTAAGTAGGGTTAGTTGAAGCCGTGGTTATTAAGATCAATGAAGATTTAAGGAAAAAAAAGGTAGTTTAGTGAAGAGTCTTTCATTTGTGGTAGGAGATTTAGTGTTTAAATCTTTGTATTGCATTATTTATTTCACTAACAAATTTTGCAATTCATTATTTAATTTGGTGGTAAAGTTGTTACTTTTAATCATAAATTTAAAATTCAATACATAACTTCTAAATATCGAAATCAATGTAATAAATCACAATTACACATGATCATAAAGAAATAATTAAATAAATTAATATCATAATAAGAGTGGGATTCGAAATAGCAGAGATAAATGAATAGGAGATTAGGATTATGGTACTCAAGAGAAATGGTTAGTTATTACAAGAATTTAAATCTGGAAGTTTGACTATAGAATTGATGTTTGGGAGCTAGTTAAGCTCTTGTTGGTTAAACTTGTTATTTTTTATTTAGTTATTACAAGATTTTTTGGGATAACACCTTGATTCCATTATTTTGCAAGCAAATAAAAATAATTTATCTAACCATAAAAAAATATGAGCTAGCCATTCTCTCAACAATTAGCACATGATTTTAGTACATATACAAACTTTACGTGTTGATTTTCTTGTTCTAGAATTTCATACCTATTGTTCGGTCCAATAAACAAGGATATATGAATCTTTTCTCATTGAAACATAATATATAAGGATTTGATATACAAATTGACATTCAATTCCATGGAATACTCCATCTTAAGTCGTAACATAAAGATTTTGACTTCATCCCCTATGCAGCTAGCTAGCTTTGCTCTTTCTTCCCAAGTGTTTGTTGTATGTGGATGTGGAAATATGTGACTTTAGCCTTTAGGTTCATGCTAGTTAACTCCTTTTGACTAATTAATCAAGATGGGATTCAAATGTTAATGTGTGAAGCAAGACTAATTAAATCCAAATTTTCCAGCTACAAACATCATCATGATCGAGCTAAATTAGCCCTTTCCCATTTAGCAGTATTCCTTAAATAAAAACACAAAGCATTTATTTCCTAATTTACCCTTTCATATTCTTTAGATTCACAAATAGTGCCATAAAGAAAACAAACGAAACGCACGTGACGCACGTCTGTTAATTCCAAAGATAAATCATAAAATAATAAAAAAATACAATATTTAATTATAATATATTACTTAATATTATCAACTTATAATATAATTCTAAATTCATCTATAATATTATATATATTTATTTATATTCATTTAATACAATATCATAATTATAAATTTATAATTTTACGTAGTATTATATAATTAATAATTTTTTTTATGAATCAAAAGTGTTATTAATAAAAGAGTACAAGGGATACTCACCTATACATTACATTAAAAGTTCAATAAGTTAAAAATCAACTGCACAATGGAGTGAGAATTGACACCAGTTCACGAAATTGAACTTAGCACAGGGAGAGTTTCCTTTGATCCAGCAGAAAGTTTTAGATTGAATTAATAATTAATAAAATTAATATAAATAATAAATAAAAACAAAAATCATTTACTTTCTAAATTACCTTTCATCGTCAATACACTTCAAATTTTGAAACATGTTATCCCCATCCCAATTTGAAAAAGAAGGGGTCCAGAATAAAAGATCAGAACCAGAAATAGCAGAGTTTGCTGACACATTTGATCGAGAATGGAGGCGTTGTTTGGACTGGTGTTTTCATATTACCAAGAGAGTGACGGAAGGGTGTGGTGGATCTGGAACATGACCAAAGGGGTTGCTGTGCAGGCGCGAGGAGAAAGAAGAAAGAGGGAATGAAGGCGACCGATTCTGTAGTCTCTCGAAGAAAGAGAAATCATGGCTTCACTGGAAAAGACGAGCAATTCTGTTGTCTTCTCCATTCAAGCTTTTTTATTAATTAAGTTATTGCACTGAGAGAAAAGAAGTAAAAGAAACAACTTGCTAAATATGGAAACCAGGACACATGTCAATAAAGTGTAAATTTAGGACCGACCGTGAATGTGACAAGTTGCAAAGGTTTTCTCAATGATTTATCCCTTATATTATTTATAAAGATATATATGGAAGTGTTTTACGAGATGTTTTTTTTCTTATAGAGGATAACTTAAAAAAAATTATATTTTAATTAATATTTTTTAAAATTAATAATTAAATTATAAATTATTTTTAATGTAGATTATGCATGCTAATGTTAACATTGATCTAAAAAGGTTAACCGGTTGTTGATTACACTAAGTTTTCATTCCAATATTTATAAGAAGGATCCTTTTACAATATGAGAAGAATTAATTTTTTATGATAGCAAGGAGACAAACAAAGTGCATTATTTGAACAGGCTTTTAAATCTAATGATTCATTCTTAAATTTTAAGTGCTTGAGTGTGATTGATTGAAAGTTTGATTTCTATTAACGATTTAAAAAATATTCTCTATCTCTCAAATTTACCTATGTTCAAAAATAAAAAAGAAATAAAAAAAACAAAGTGCATTATTCCAATTGAAAAAACAAAGTGCATTATTCAAATTGAAAAATAATCAGTATATTTTTTAATTTAATACACCTTCAACACTCATTAGTTTAACTATTAAAATCAATAGTTTTAAGTTTTTTTTATCTTTAATTTAAATTTTAAAAAAATAATTTTTTAATAAATATATTATGAAATATTCCGAATCAAAAGATATTTGTATTAGTATGCATCCAAATTCCATGAAAGCTAAAGGACAAACAGGGTGCATTGTCCGTATTCTTAGGAAAAACGTTTCCGGTTGTATTTGAAAAAATAAGGCAAAAAATATTTTAAAATTATATTATTCTAATAAATTTTTATTGAAAAAGCTAAAACACTTTAGTTTTTAAGTAACAATGAGGCTATTTTAATTTTTTTAGTAATGTTTTATTAAAATAATATAATATAAATTTTTTTATCTAATTTTTTTTTACAAATATACCTGATAAGACAGACAAAAAAAACTTAAAATTATATTATTTTAGTAAATTTTTATTAAAAAATTAAAATACCTTAGTTTTTAAATAATAATGAGATTATTATAATTTTTTAAATAATATTTTATTAAAAATAATAATACCTTAGTTTTTAAATAATAATGAGATTATTATAATTTTTTAAATAATATTTTATTAAAATAAATAATCAAATTTTTTTTTATCTAATTCTTTTACAAATATGCTTGATAAACACCACCCACCAAATCCTTTAATTTTGAATGGCCTTCTCTCTCCCTCCCCCCATTGTACGGACGGTCTTCTCTTATTCTTTCCCCAGTTGAAGGAAAACTATCCTTGATTTCCGGGAGATTTCCCGACAGCATTCACGTTTTACACATGCTCTCTCTTTCTAAATGACTGTATATAGAATACGATCATAAATCCTAAAAAAAATATTGAATAGATCGAATACATCCAATCTTGAGCTAATTATCTTGTCTTTTACTGTTTTTTTTTTTTTTTGATATTGTCTTTTACTGTTTTAATTTAGAAAAATACCAACTTCCATGTGAAAGGAAGTCTTCTAATTAACTAATATTGTAAGAAGACTTGATTAATCGTGGAAGAAACCGGGGGCGCTGGTAGACTACTGACAAATTTAATTAATTGGAGATTTCTAGAACCTTGTTTTAACATGTTTTGCTCTTATTTATATACAACGGATGCTCAGTACCTTATATATATATATGTATTTGTGCGCGCATGTATGGAAGAACAGGGTATGATATGATGTCCTTTTAAATTTTTTTAAGGAATTTATTTAAAAGTTTACCTTTTAATTTAATTAATATTTTTAAAAATTAATCCATTGGATTGAAAATTTTATTTATATAAATTATATATGTTAATTTTTATATTAATCCAAATCAATTAACCATTTGATCAAATAAACTTTATTTATTGACATATACTAAATGGTGTTAAATTTTATGTAATCAACTAAGTGGTTAGACCTATTAAAACAACATAAAAATTGATATATATATATATATATGATATATATAAATAAAACTTTTAATCCAATAATTAATTTTTTAAAATATTAATTAAAAAATAAATTTTTAGACAGATATTTCCAAAAAAATTTGGGAGGGTGACTTTCTAACCACTTTTCCATACATATAATTAGTGTTTAATTATCAGTTGAATTTTTAAAAAATTAAGAGAAAAAAACTATAAAGTTATGTCGTATCAAAAAATCAGCATGGGAAAAACCCAAACAACCTCATCCTTACTTTACAAATAGGTTATTTAAATAAAATTTATTGAAATGATGAAATTTTGGAGTTTTTTTCCTCTTAATTATTTAGAAATTCAATTGATAAATACTTATATACATAGGAAAAGTGCATATCAACCTCAACTCTCAATAAAATGGAGTCTTAATTTTGAATTGTGTCATTTTATTTAATTAAAATTCAATTCAAAATTTAGAAATTTATATTATTGAATGTTTTTATTTGGGTTTAAAAAGTAATTATAAATTTTAATATAATTGATTTTCAAATTTTTGTATCAATATTTAATAAGGTGAATTTCTAAATTTTGAATTGAGTTTTTGGTTTACAAATATAAAAATCAATATTTAAAAGATGGATTTTTTTAATTTTGAATTGAATTTTAATTAAATGAAATTATGTAATTTAATATTATAACTCTATTTTTTTTTTGGAGTTGGAACTGATATGCACTGTTGTAAATAGAGAATAGTGCATATATATCGGTCAAAAAAATTGGAGTCTTGAAGTTTATTCATTTAATTGAAACTCAATCAAAATTCAGATATCAATATTTAATAAAGTGAAATTTTAAATTTTGTATTGAGTTTTTAATTTTTAAATGTATGTATCAATATTTAATAAGATGAATTTTGATGAATTTAGATTAATTTTTAAATTTTAAATTGGATTTTTGTTAAATAAAACCATATTATGTAAAGTTGGGACTTTAATTCTTTTTTTAGTAGGATTAATATGTACTATTTTCTATATCATTTATCAAAGATTATGTATAAATAATCATTTATATAAATAGAACATTATAATTTCTATTCTAAGTTGTATATATAAACCTTAGAAACCAGCTGCAGAGCATTCACTTTGTTCTTCTTTTCTATTTTGTGCTGGTAGTTGGGCTAAAATTGCAAAAAGATTGCCAAATAGAACAGACAATGAAATCAAAAACTTGTGGAACTCCCGCTTGAAGAAACGGGTGATGGAGAATTTAACTGTTGATGATCATGAAACCAAGCAGGATGCTGATGATCATGAAGCCAAGCAGGAGATGAAATCAGTTGAACAACATAATACCTTATCTCCGGATGCAGAACTGTATTCACTTGATGATACTTTACCTCCTGTGTTGCGCTCACCAAAACTGCAGGACTTCCCAGTTGGAGCTGACCCAAATAGCTTTGCAGTACAGAAAACAAATGACATTATCAAAGAGGAAAATTCAGGTCTACTTGAGATATTTTGGGATGAACTAGTCCAAGATTTGTGGGAGCAGTCAGTGGAGGATTCTCAGACGACCTTAATCAATGAAAATTTCATGACAGCAACTTCTCAGTTATGGCTCTATGAGTCCACATTCTTGTGTGATTCCAACTATGCTCTGGATCCCATTGATGATTTTTGGCTCAGTTCATCAATTGAGGGCAAAAGTACTCTTTGATATTCCTGCTCTATCATGCTTGCTTAGCATATAATCTCGATATATGTATTCATACCCTCTTAATTTGTACCTATCAGCTTTCTTTCGAAATTTATCATACTCATAAATAAAATATAATTAGTATGAAAAATGATTAATACACCATTTAATTTAATATACCAGCTGATACTTATTGATTTAACCATTAAAATTTATAATTTTAAATTTTTTTGTCTTTAATTCTAAATACAAAAAAATAATAATTTTTTTAATAAATATGTTGTAAAGTGAATTAAGTTAGATGATGTTTATATTGATGTCCAATAAATAAATAGCACCCAAAAATCGTAAGGGTTTGGTTGGATCCACTACTATATATTAGGGAGATCAAGAGACAAGAGCTCACAAATGATATTGCTCAATACATGGATTGAATGTCTTAAACTCAAAATTAGCTTTTTAGATTTATGGTATCCACATATATATTTATTTTATATAGTCACATTAAATCTTTTTGGTGTGGGGCTCATCACCCTCGTACTGAACCTAGACCCTTGTTTGGTATGGGAACAAACAATGGGAGGGAAGAAAAGAGAGATAGAAGAGTGTCATTTTCTTTCCATTTCCCTTCTTTTCCGTCCCCTCTAATTTTTTGTTAATTAAATAAAGAAATTTCTTCCTACTCCTTTTCTTTCTTTTCACTCAAACCTAATCAAAGTACAGGATCAAGTAACATGATTTAGCTTGGATTTATATGTTTGTGATTTAAATATTTTGTATGTCCAGAGAATTCGAGTCATGTTCATGATGGATGGAGTATCCCTCACGCTTTTATTTAATATAATTTTCATTTTGTTAGCTGATAATTATTCACTCTAATCAAACAAATAAGTGTTTTGAATTAAAAATAACAATTATTAGCCCTTGGATATAGACAATATCAACTATTCCCCACTAGCTAAACCGAACATGTCAACAGTGTGTATGTATGCATATATATATATATATATGTATAATATTAGTATTTATTAATTGAATTTGTTCTATGCTTGGTAGGATTATCCTCACTGTTAAGAGGGTATTGATGGATTCATACTCACTGTAATTACATAGAAAGCATTGAGCAACTAATTGACTTCACTTGAAATGAAGACAGAGTTAGTAGATGCTCAATACTTTCCTTGTTTTTGTATTATGAGCAGTAGTATCCCTTATACTTTATATATTTAAATATCTTTTGCTGTGCAAAAAAAAAAAGAAATTGAATTTGTAAAAAATTAGAGAAAAGAAACATTTTAAAATTATATTATGTTTTTTATTGTAAAATAAAATTTTATTATGTTAGAATACAATTAATATTCCTATCCATTTACATTATATTTTACTATTATAATTTAAATATCTATTATTTTAAAACACAACTCCAAATAAATAATCCAATCAAATCAAAACCCACATCTACCAACTCTATCCTTTATCCACAAAAAAGATTTAATTTTAATTACTTCCACTAACCTATCAAAATCCATCTCCACCTTTTTAAATTTCACTTTATTCCTCAGGCCCCAAAAATGCCACGTGACTGAGATAAACAAAAAGCACTAGACAAGAGTTTTTTAATCGTATTATTTTAATAAAATTATATTATTTTTAAAAAATATTATAAAAAAAACAAACAATATCATTCTAGCTTCAAAAATAGATCTTTTTAATGTTTTTTTATATAAATTTATTAAAATAACATAATTTTTTTAATATTTTTATATAAATTTATTAAAATAATATAATTTTTTTTAATTTTTTATAAATATGATTAATAAATATTTTCTAATATATATTTTTATCTAATTTTTTACAAACATAACTGAAATATTTTTTCATATACAGTGACTTTAATCTTTAATCCATATGCTTTGATGCCAGCTAGGTAGCTCTATTTGTGAAATTAACCCCTTTCGACTAATTAATCAAGAGGGGGTCCAGCTGTTCGGAAACAAGAGATTATTAATGATCTTGTTCAATTTTTCCAGCTTCATATATGCATCAACATGACATGAGAAAAAAAAAAAGACGTGACTTCAATTAGCCCTTTACATTTGGATAGCATTATGCCTTTCTTAATTAATTAATGAACTTAATAGAACTAAATCTCTTACAAATAATTGGCCGGTTCATCTATACTTATCAACTAGTCGATCTCACAAACACATCCCCCGGCCCTTTTACACTCCTTCTGAGTAGATTTCTCCGTT